AAAAATGCATTGACCTATGTCACTTTAGTTTTGTACATAAATTATATTTCAATAAAATGCATTTAAAAAAAAACATTGGAATTGAGTCAATTCCAACTCATTGTGACCCTTCAGGACAGTGTAGAACTGCCCCATAAAGTTTCCAAGGCTGTAAATCTTTTTGCAGAGGGTCTGGTGGGTTCAAACCATCAACTTTTGGGTTAGCAGCTGACTGCTTTAACCACTATGTCACCAAAGCAATATAGGGAAAGTAATCACCTCAAAAGAAACCTGGTTTGAGGGAAGGCCGGGAGGTGAAGGGGATGTTTTGAAACAATCAACTTTCTTGTTTGTTACCTGGTTTATTGGTGGTTTTGGTGCTGAGCAGAGGAGCACTGGTAATGCAATAGTCAAAGCATTCAGCTACTAACCAAAAGGTCAGCGGTTCAAACCCACCAGCAACTCCACAGATGAACGATGTGGCAGTCTGCTTCCATGAAGATTTACAGCCTTGGAAACCCTATGATGTAGTTCTGCTCTATCCTATAGGGTCACTATGAGTCAGAATCAACTTGACTTCAGTAGGTTTGGTTTTTGAGTTTGTTGCAGAGTAGGAAAAGTACAGGTGGAATTTCTCTGGGAATATATTTTACTATTTTGACCCTATAAAATACCATACAGAAGGCCTGTCTGAACCTTCCCCCAAAATCCCTGAACTTTGGAAGCCTTTTCCCTGTCTGGGATCCATTGTGACCATTCATATAACCAGAAGCTTAGTATGAATGAGCCCCAACATTTCTTCTGGGCCTAATATCTATGAGCCCCAGATATAACTACTCAGGCCCTGCCTGAAATATCACAGTTATTTTCTAACAGCTCATCCTATCTGGAGAGAAAGGACCTACAAGGAAGGAACTTGAAACTTGTTTATTGGAGGAACAAACCCCAATCCAAACAAATTGACTACAGACATCACAATGGATCTTTCTATCAGAAGCAGAATCACAAACTGAATGGGTCAGTATGATCTAGGGCTGCTTTTTCACTAACTAGGTACATAATTTGGGCAAGTTACTTATCCTTTCTGTATCTCATTTTCTTCAAGAATAAAATGAGGATGACAGTAGCATATATCTCATGGGGTTGTTATAGAGATTAAATATGATGCATAGTAAAGTTTTCAACACAGTGCCAGAAACTTAGGAATAATATATGTTAACTATCATTATAATAAAACTATTATAGGAGGGACCCAATGTTACATTTCTGCTATCTGTAAAGCTCTATACAAGGAAATATCCTAAAGCAGATTGTGCAAAAATAAATAATACACACCATTCCACTTTCCGGGTCTCTGTCCCTGACATGGGGAATTTCCAAGTATTTCAAGAAGTCACGAGCCCCCAAGAGAAGTTGAAGGTCCCTTCAATCAAACAGCAACACATTCTTTCTCTTACCCTTGGAAATCTTATTTCTCCAGAAGTTTTAGGTTTTCATTTTTCACTAAATCAGGAGAAAATTTTGTTGTGAAGCCTCCCCTTCTTTACTCTCCTCCCTTCCCAGTTGAAGGCCCTCTCCCTTCTCTTTCATTCCTCTTCCCTATTTCTCCATCACCCCTTAACCCTTTATTCTACTTCAACCCTTCCATCCTCTTTATTCAATTACAGCCTATCCCCTTTATTCCATTTTACTCCCCATTATTCCGTGTCACCCTTTCCCTTTTATTCCATGTCATTGCCTCCCATTATAGAACTTCTCTCCTTTATTCCATGTTACCCTTCTGCTTTATTTCATGTCACCTCCTCCCCTTCATTCAGTGTAATCACCCCTTTATTCTACTTCACTCCTCTTTATTCTATTTCACCTCCCTGATTCCATCACCCCCCTTCTATATTCCATGTCACCCTCTCCTCTTTATTTCATGTCACCCTCCTCCCTTTATTCCATGTCACAGCCTCCCATTTATTCCATATCAACCCTTCCCTTTATTCTTTCACTCCTCCCCCTTTTTTCATCCCATCCCTTTCCTTTATTCCTTGTCACCCCAAAACTTGTATTCCATCTCACCTTGTCCCTTTTACTTCATGACATCCCTTCCCCTGTACCCCATATTATCCTCTTTTTTTATTCCATATCACCCCCATTCCCATTTCTCACTTTCAGCTTTCCAGTTAGAGCTTCTAAACTCACCCCTCCACATTTTTTTAAAAAAAGCACACAGTAAGCCATGAATATGCTGCTGTCACAATACAGATGTTTATTAATGATTAAATGCCAGAGAAGTTTTAACAATCACAAATCTTCGAGCTCTGCGGGTGTTACCCATCCTGTGATCAATTTCTAACCGTCAATACAATACATTCTTCATTCTATGGACCTTAGCAGTTGTAACCCATCAATATCTGCTATAATTTTGGATGTCATACATAACCCATATCTGTGTGTTTGTTACCAGAGCATGTCCTGCAAATTTGTACCGCCCTGCATAGAGGAACTACAGAAACGATAAGAACATTTGTAATCAGGTAACTTTAACTACTTGGGACTATATGTCTGTACCTAACTAGTTGTTTTGCTGATAACGGGGTGTGAATGGTAGCTGTCTTTAAAACAGATCCAGGTTAATAAATCAAAATTTTTCCTCTAACTTTTGACTTGAGGTTTCCCTATTGACTTGACCTGAGCAAAACTGCACAGAATTTTGGGAGTGGCTGTTTGATGAGCCATTGGTCTAAATAGTTTTTGGGAAAAAAATATATCCCGAGGTGGTGGAGTTACTGCAGGGACATGGCTATGAGTTGGTGTGACATAGTTTAGCATTAATTGTTTGTCAGCTACCAATTGGCTGACCTAACGTCCTAGCATGCCTCTTGAGGGCCTTTCCAACTGAGCTCTTGGGAGGAGAGTAGGAAAGTCAGGAAAAACATGCAATCCCCTTTGGGGGAGGGAAAGCACCTCGAGATTTGTGAGCTTCTCTGGGACAGGTGTTTACCACAAATGTCACATCAATTAAAGATAGGACTGTAGTGTGGGAAAGCCAGGATCAGGGTTCAAAGGGAAGGCAAGGTAGCAACAGGGAGCCTGGACATGACACAGAAACATCTCTGCTTCTACCAGCTGAAGGGACCAAGCATCCCCAGTGAAGGGGCTGACAGTGTGTTTGGAATTCCCAACCTGACCCGAGCATCAGGCTGGAACTCCTTCTCACCTGCAAATCTTTACCTTCAAGACTCCCCGTAATGTTTCCTGTGACACCTCAGGTCTACCCCACCTTTTCCCCTGTCCGGCATCTTATAGAAGGAAAAACATCTAAGGAAAGAAGTAGCCGATGTCAGTTTTGGCCTCCTCCCGGGGCACACGGAGCAATGGGCGGTCTTGCTCCGGAATGGGAGGGTTACCCGCTCCTTCATCATCGTCATGGGAACGGGCAGCACCGCCGGGAGGCACAGCTGGCTCCTCAGAGGAACCTGGAAAATAGTAACAATGTTAACTCGTGTTTCTAGACTTCACACTTTGCACAGCACCCAAGACACAAAGACCTAATTTTGGGCTTCAAATACAGTATGAAGCAAGAGGTGGGGTGGGAATGATTATCCCCACTTGGCATGTGAAAAAATTGCACAGATTATCTAAACTAGGCCCACTGTGGAAACTAGAGGAGAGAAATGGGTTAGGAAACAGGAAGATAGACAGATACCCCAGGCTCAGAGCAAACAGACAATTCCACCAGGGAGATGAGGAAGAGGGTGACCTCCTAATAACCACCACCACCCTACAACTAACCTGACTAATTGTACTAAGCAAATGAGTGACAGAGCTGGAGCTGGAAGCTTACAGGACTGCACAGAGGGGAGAAAGCAGGTGTCACTCTTCAGTGACTCTAGGGAGGACTTGTAGTCAATGACTTGGCCAGGCTGAGATTTGTTTTTAAGGAGAGTGGTATCTACAGGACATACAATATCTACATCATCTTTATGGAACTGGATTGCCTTTGGATTCTGAATTTCTTTAGGATCGAGATCTTTAGGCATTGGAACTGCTTCCACATTCATGATTTCCTCAAGGTTGACAGCCAGGTCTTTTGGAGGGTCTAGAATTGTATTAAGAATGGAGACATCATCAGGCTCTGGAGCCACAGGGAGAACTTGGTCTTCTTCAAAAATGTTAGCTTGGTCTTTCTGCGGATTTGGAAATTCATTGAGAATTAGTGCATTCTCGGGCTTGGGCTCTGGGACTACCCTGGCAACTGAATCTTCTTTAAGACTGGGGTTTTCTCTAGAGTCTTGGACTCCACTGACATCAGAGGCTTTTTCATGGCTTGGAATTTCTTCAACATCTGAGGCTTCTTCGTCGTTTAGGATTTCACTGTCTTCTGAGGATTCTTCATAGTCTTGAATGTGATCAAAATCAGGGACATCTTCAGAGACTGTAACCACATGGAGAGCTGGGACCTCTTCAGGGTTGGGGTCTTCTTCCACTGATCTCTGGAGCTTCTTCATGATCTTGGATTTCTTCAGCATCTGAGTTTTCATCATTATCTGAGGCATCTGCTTCATCTGGAATTTCACTGGTGCCTGGGGCTTCTTCACCATCTGGGATATCATCCATATTGGAGGTTTCATCATTGTTCGGGAATACATCAAGATAGGGAATGTCTGCAAGATCAAGATTTTGGTAGTCATCAAAAAATTTGGTCCTTCTTCAAGGTTGTGGCTCGGGCTTTCTCCACAGTTGAAGATTTCCTGCACGTCTGAAACTCCTTCAGGGTCTGGAATCATATCAAAATATGGTATTTCCTCCAAGTCTGGGATCTCAGTGAGTTTTGGAATTTCATCATCAGGTTCTAGAATATCTTCAAGGGGAGGCAGATCATCAAAATTCAGGGTATCCTCCTCCTCCTCTTCATCAAGCTCCAGTATGCCTTCTAAATGTGGGCCCTGAATATCAAGATCATTTGGGAACTCAAGACCTTGGATTTCCCCAAAGACTATGCCTTGATTGAAATATCCAAATACTAGCTTATCATTGACTGACACATCTTCCTCAGGAGACTCATTGTGCTCAAGGGGCTCATCTTCAGCAAGGACCTAGCCTTCAGGAAGGGCCTGACCTTCAGCAAGGACCTGACCCTCAGCAAGGGCCTGACCCCCAGCAGGGAACTGACCTTCATCAAAGGGCTTGCTTTGAGCAAGGACAGCAGCCTGGGCTTCTGCAGAGCTTTCCACTGGATCAGAAAGTAAAGCATCCTCTTCCATCTTTATCCGTGCACTCCTGAACGAAAAAGAATGTGAAAAAACAAGTAAGTTGGTGCATTTGGGTTAACTAACTAAAGATGCTCTGGGGTTTGCAGCCCCCTACAGGAGAGTCAGCTTCAAGCTAAACATAAACAAATCCAGAAATACTCACTGGATCCTCCTCAAATTCCTGCGTCTAATAAAATCAAGGGCTTCCGGACTAGATTTCCACACTCGCTTAGCAACCTGCCTCTGGATATGAGGAGGCACCTGAGAGTAAAATAATCAATGTTAGCCTTTATGACACCACACTTTTTTTTTTATTGTGATTTTATTGTGATTTGGGTGAAGGTTTACAGAGCAAATTCACTTTCCATACAGCAGTTCATATACACTTTGTCTCATGACATTGACCACAGTTTACCACAATACAACAGCTCCCCTCCCACTTCCTCCCCACAGTTACCTCTCCCCAGTGTCCATCCCTCCATGGGCTCCTGTCCCCTGAGCTGTCTCCCTGTGCATAAGCAGCCCTTCTTTCTCCCATGATTGTTCTCTCCAAGGAGTATCACACCACACTTTTTCATTTATACTCTTCTCTATCAGTTACTCAGGACTTGCCATGGCCTCTGGATGCTCAGTGATCCTTATGCTAATGTTCCAATCAAGGCTGCCCTTCCTAGAAGGACTGAAGGTACCATGATCAGCTAATGAAAGAGGAATTTTTTAGATTGGGATATTTTGTGACTTCATTCTGTGGCTGAGATGCATGCACAACACTCCTGTGAACAGGAGAAGAAGTAGTTAATAAGTGGGTCCAAAATTGCCATCTACCTGGAAGAGAATATCCCAGTTATCAATCATGGAACGGACTACATTGACAGAAGCAACATAGTGGTCAATCCCCAGCCTTGTTTTCCTGGACTCCCTCTTGGCAAACCTCCCCTTCTTCAGGAGGGCAGATCCAAACACCAAGGCCAAATTGGTGGAAGTCATACGGTTGCCTGGAACCTAAGCAAGCAAAGGAAAGCAGAAAGTGACTGACCCCGAGTTAGGACCAGAAGTTGTACAAATAGGTATGACTTTTTTGGTCTTTTTCTTTCACTCTCCCTCTGTCTGTCTTTCTCATATACTCCCACTCACACCGACTACTGCACACAGCCCTTACTACCCCTTTCCAGAGCTTTTTACCAGCTGTCCATCAATGCCAATGGAGTCCTCGCAGTTCTCAGTAATTTTGTGCAGGGCCTTCAGCAGACGCTCCAGGGTGTCACTGTGGCAGGGTGGCATTAGGTAGACCAGCAACTGCAAGGCAGAAAGCTGATCCTGGGGCTTCAGAGCTGAGGGAAGGAAAACAAGGGTAGGCTCAGGAGGCTACCCTTGGCAGCACCCTGTTATTGAAAAGGATGGAATTCCTCTTGAAAATTGCTGTAGGCTACAGAGTACCCAGGCATCTTGCCTTGCTCATTCCCAAAGCATTTGGGCTCAGGATCCCTGGAAGTAAGAAATGCTCCCATCAAAGGCAGAATCTGGGTTTTTCTTTGCCCTGAGAAGGCATATACAGCTTCAAGAAACTCTAGAGAAAATTCCAAGCAATAAACCGATAGTGGAGTATTAAGATATATAAGGAAAGTCATTTGGAAAGTTTTTTCTCCTCTTTTGATAGTCATCTTGCTTTAGTTCTTTGGGGTTGTGCAGCCTGAGCTCTGTCCCTAGACCCCTAACATCACCTTTCCTTGCCAACAGGGGAGGGTAAAAGACTCACTTGCTGTCAGGAGGAAAGACATGTACAGATCATCTGGCAGCAGAGAGTCCTTCATGTCACGGAAAAACTCCTTGAGGAGTGCAGCCACATCATGCACATTCAGAGTGTCATCCAGCACTACATCCAGACCTTGATCAAATTCTTCACGGAGCTAGAAAAAAGGAGAAAAGACAAGGACTATATCCCTTGCCTCCACAGGCTCCTTCCTGGCTATTCCTTCAAATACTCTGGGGTTTCAGTTGAGGTAGCCACAACATGAAGTTTGTGAGGGGCTAAAGAGAAGACCTTGCTTCCCCCACTAGTCTCTACATTCCCCTCACTCTATGGGGTAGCCCCCACCAGATCTTGCCATTTTTCATCCAAGGGGAAGAAAAAAAAAGTATAAACAAAGCCAATTTACCTGACGCACTTTGGCAGCAGAGTATTCAAGGGTGAAAATCCCCACTGTGCTTAAGCCTAAAAGAAAAGACCAAGGGATGCTAAGCATCTCTGGACTCCTCCCTCTGGCATTTCCCTTCTCTCCCTCAACTCACCTTCATCCCAGAGCCAACTGGAGACAGGGGAATGGTCCCCAAGTTCTTTATCCTACAACCTCCTTTCTCTCCCTGTTTGTAGAAACCTCTTTACCCCTTTAACTGCCTCCTTCCTTGATCCATCAACCATTTGCCAGCCCCTTACCATGTTTCTCAATGAAGTTGCAGCAAGCCTCCACCACCTGGGGGATTTGTTTAGCAATCGGATTGAGGCTCATTTTCCTTTTGGATCCCAGAAGTCGCTGGCCAATTGGAAAGGAAACCTTGGAAAGCTGCAGGGTCTGCAGCAGCAGGGCCCCATCCTCCAGCTCAGCCAGGCTGTCCACAGATACTGCACCCTGTGGAAAAACCCAGACCGTAAAGTGGGGGAGCAGCAGGGTCTCCCGGCACTCCCTGAAAGAAGGATTCTGTGATAGTTAGAACAGGAGAACTTCTAGCCCCAAAAGCAAGTCAGTCCCACCCTTCCCACCCTGTTCTGTTCTGCTCCCTACCCCCAAGGCCACAGGCCTTGATCCTCCTGTCCCACACCTCAGTAGGTAACTTTCTCTCAGGAAGGGCTGCTGCCTGAAACCTGAAGTATTTAACTCACTCGACGTCCACGGCGAGTGAACTCCGGGGGCAAGGAGGGTTCATCCCGCCTGCGACTGAAAAAGCGCCGGATACGGCCAAACATCCTTTGCACCACGTTTCCACGACGGCGCGCAGCCTGACCCCTGGATTCTTCAATCTGCATGGCTGTAGTCAGTTCCAAATGCTTGCGGCGGGTAAGCTCGTTCACCAGAGCCTCTTCCAGACGGATGCCAAAGGTCTTGAGAGAGACAACTGGGGAACCAGGGAGAGAAAGAACGAGAAATGTCTAAACCCGGCAGAGCTTAAGTCAGGAGGAACTGCAGGGACTGTACCACGCCCACCGTCAACCCCACCCTCCAGACGTGCAGCGCCCCACTCTGGGGAGTAAGCCAAAAAGACCCTGCAGTGGGATATTGAAAGGACTCAACTGCACTCAACTACCCTGACAGGGCACAAGGTCCCTGCCTTAAGTCTTGCCAGGAGGCGACCACCTTGTAGAATGAGGGTGATACCTTAAGGTTGTGATCTCCCTGGGGTGAATCCACTGGGAAGGCTTAGGCAGGTCTGAAGGGACCGCCCAGCACACCTCCAGCCAGTGCGCCATTTCCTGAAATCATCCCCTACGGGGTTTGAGGGGGGGCATCCACAGGACCAGTGGGCACCGCTTAGTCCCCAGCAGCTAGGGGCACAATCCAAAAGGAGGGCAGCACTCAATGTCTCTCCTAATGAAAATATGAGAGCCCCTCACCCCTCTGCTGTCCTCTCAGAATCAGAAACCACTTCTCCAAGGTGTTTGGACGGTCAATAGGTAGGGCTACGGGAAAAGAAAAAGAAAAGACAAGCACACACACAAATTGGACTTGATAAGTGCCTAAAACACGTAGCAGTACATCCATGCGCAGAGGGTTTGTCAAACAGCTCCTTCTAGCCCGCGAAAAGTGTCTTGCTTTCTCTCAACCTCAGTTTTCCCATCCGACCACGGGACCAAGCCTATCTATGGCACTCTATCGCACAGGTTGTTGTTGTTTAACCAGACCAAACCATCTGAGGCGCCGCGCCGCGCCGCGCACCAGTAGTCGCTCAACACAACCTTTAAAACATAAATTCGGGTGCTCTGAGGCGCCCAGACTGTGCAACAGGCCAAGGAAGGGCTTCTGCCCGCGGCGCCACCGCTGATAGAGGTCGCCAAGTGAGAGCTGCTGCGGGCGCGCTCGCACCTGGGATGCCGTCGCCTCCCTGCGCTGCGGCGGGAGCGCCTGGCTCTCCTGCGCCCCGACCCTGGCTACCTGTGGGGTCTCCTCGTCCAAGCCTCGGCAGAGTTCAAGCTGCGCCCGCTGTGCGCGCCAAACGAACCTACCGCCCTCCGCCCTTCCCATTCCAGCAGGGGCGCCCCTCGCCCCGCACAACACCCCCTCCCCTCAGCGCGGCGGCTGAGTCTGCGCGTACCCTCGAGACCCCCTGGCGCGCTCTAACCCTGTTCTGTCCGGCGTTCCCGGCAACCACCTGAGGTGGGCTGCTTAAGAGCGCACCGCCCGCCGCTTTCGCACCGCCCTTCCGCTCCCCGCTGGGCTGGGCGCGCGTCTCGTCTCTCTCACCGTCTTGCTATCTCCCTTTAAGCTCCGTCTCTCGGCTGCACCGTATCTCTCTTTCCCAGTCTCTCTCCAAATATTCCTCTGCTCCTCTGTCTCACTCTTCCTTATTCTCGCACCGCGCCTAGTACATCTGTCTGTTCACCTGTCCTCTGTACACATGTCTGTCCTACTGCTCCTCAAACCCCCAGGCTTCCATCCAACTCAACTAATCTTTACCTCTTCCGCAGTTCTACCAAAACCCTTCAACTCCCGCTTGCTGGGTTCCCCTGGTGTCAGGAGAACGCACCGGTCTAGGACCGGACGCGAGCCCCTCCCACCCTCTTGAACCCCCAGGCCGTCCCGTCCCGCCCGGGGGGTCCACTCGCCCGAGGGCGAGGACGCCACACTCCGGGGTATATCTCACCTCTCTCAGGATTGAATTCAGAGAGGAAATGTCTAGCCACGAGTTCGTGGTAAGCAGTCTCTTGAAGCTTCAGACGCTCCAGCTCAGAGAGGCTGTGTATTGATATCATCTTCGTCCTGCGGTCCGGATTGTGTCCTGGGGCTCCTCCCAGAACGCTCACTAAAAAAATGAAGGCGGACAGCAATAGCAAAGGGGGCATGATTCTGGGGCACCGTGTCCTTGCTGCCTTCACAAAAGGAATGCAGCCACCCATTCTGGAATCGGATGATTATCAGGGCTGCATCATCCAATTGTCACTGGACCTAGTGGAGAGAACTATGTGGGGGGAGGGGAGGGGAGGGAGGGAAAACTGGGAGGCGGCTTCACCCTCAAGCAGGGCTGCCTCTGGTTTTTTATTAAAAAAAAAAAAAAAAAAAAAAAACCCAACTTAAAAAAATATCAGCCCTGAACAGACAGTACACAGAAGAGAAAACATAAGAAGGGAAAAGAAAGATGAAAGAAAGAAAAAATATCAACCAACTTTACTCACAATAAAAAAACATATATATATACACATTGAGACAATAAGTTAGTGTCTCCCACCAGGTAATTAGAATACTGATGGAGCTCATTTAATAATTTAATTTAATAATACCTGACGTTGGTCAGGGTGGGTGAAATGGGCACTTTCATCTAGGTTGGAGATACTAAATCTGTGCAACTCTTCCAGAAAGCAAACTGGAAACATGAGTCTAGAGCCAAAAACTGTCCCTAGGCCCTTTGACCCAGTAATTTCCCTTCTAGGAATCTGTCCTAATGAGATCTTCTTACAGATTTATGGAGAAACCATATCACGTGATCCATAATAGTAAACATATACATATGAAAAAGTAGTCAACAATGAGACAAGTTATATAACTTATGAAATGGCCACAGCATGGAAAATGATGAAATCATTTAAGTGATGTTTACAAAGATGTTTTTATCAACAAATAGAATACAGGATTGCATTATGATTACATATCTGTGAAGAAAAAAAATGCATAAAAATACAAGACTAAAGGAAATGCACCCGCATACTAACAATGGCTGCATTAAGTGGTGGGATTTTGTTGGCTTTCTCTCTATTTAGCAAAAATGGTACAACCTAATTTATTACTTTTTCATGAAAAAAAAAATCAGTTTGTACCCAAACAAATATTTCCAGGTCATTTCTAGTGAGAATCCCTATATAAGATTGGGGATCAAAGTGGAGTTTATCTTTGTGTGCTGGAAAATATGCTTTATATGTCCCTTCTCCATGATGTCCATGATGTCACCTGCACCCAGGCTGCACGGGATCCTCCAAAGGCTGTCTCCCTGGACTCCAGACAGCATCCTTTCCTGCACATCCTCATCTCTATTATTCATTTATTCATTCATTTTTTTTAAAGAAACTTGTCTTCATTGCCCACGTTGCACCAGGTACTAGAGGTTCAAAGATGAACAAGATAATACTACTCCTTTAATAAAAGATTTAACAGAGCTGTGAAAGAAATACACAGGTTAGCAACAATTTACAGAACCTTGTGATAGTCAATCAGCCAAGACAGAAACAAAGTACTGTGAGAGCAGAAAGGAAGAAACATCTAAGTCTGCCTGGATATAGGGAGGGGGACGTGTCCAGAGAAAGAGAACAGCTTGTGCAAAGGCAAGGAGATGGGAGAGAAGTTGTCATTCTTGAAGCTGTCTAGAGGGGATGGAAGGAGATAAATCTGGATAGGCAGGGATGAGATCACCAATGACCTGTAAGCCATGATGAGGAGATAGACTTTGTCCTGAAGGCAATGGATGAACTACTGCAGGGTTTTAGGCTGGGAGAGGAAGTCACAGCTGCAGCTTGGAAAAATCAAAGAGTGGTGAAAACATCTGGCTTGGGTAGAGGATCTCAAGTAGGTAAATCACCCAAGTGGCAAGAGATGCTGACCACAGGTCAGAGTTACTGGGGCTGGGGCAGGAGATGGATTTTATGGGCAGGATTGATGAGACTACGGGAAAATTTTAATAGAACAGAAAAGAAAGGATTAGGATAGCTTCCAGGTTTATGTTGTGACTATGTGGATGCAGGTTCCTGACAAAGAAGATAATTTGGGACATAAACCTTCTATAAAAAGGAAAGTGGCCAAATACCCCTTTTCTGAGCTTCTTTTTCCTGTGGAGTTTTACCATAATTTTCTATATATTATCTGGGGGTTTAAATTTCAAGGCTCAGATTATGTGACTTTGACGGAGAGAAAGTAAGTATTTTTCAATAATTTAAACAAATGAGCTATTCTGTGTCCAAAAAACAACAACACACAAACACCCTTAATTTTTGTCTCTAAAATTCTCGTTTGCCCACTTTCTTAAATGGCTAAAGTCACACATGTCAGAAATGCTTGCCAGGGATCTGGGTATGAAAAATTCTGCAGTATGAGAAAGAATGGCATGGTGAGGTGTATGGGGGGGGGCAGTCTTTCTATGGCTAGTGAACTGAGCTAAGAGGAAAACCCATAGCAGAGGATTATAAAGCTCCTTTAACTGCAAAGCACCCTCTCCTGGGCCTAACCATCAAACTGCAACAATGAATTGAATCTTAACCAAAGGTACATGCAAAATACCTAACCACAGCCCCAGACTAAGCCTCTAGCAATTCCCATGTGTGATGGCAAACCCAGAGCCTATGAGCTGAGAGTCTCATCCTGACACACACAGCCTAGCTCTGGCTTAATTTTTCTCCTCCTCACCCCTCACCCCGATCCAGACATTTGAGTACCTGTCTTGGAGCTTCAACTCTTCTTAGAGAGGCTTAAAAGATCTGGTCATCCAAGGAGCAGAGCTGGTTCTTTTCACCCAAAGAAATATCAGGATGAAAATCAATCCCTCCCACCAAAAAATATTTAAAAATAAAAAAAAAAAAAAAAAAAAAAAAAAAATAAAAATATAAAAAAAAAAAAAAAAAAAAAAAAAAAAAAAAAAAAAAAAAAAAAAAAAAAAAAAAAAAAAACAACAAAAAAAAAAAAAAAAAAAAAAAACCCAACTTAA